CTCGCAGGCCCACTTAAGAAACACAAACTTTAAATGGTGGAATCCAATTAGGGCCAGGTTAAATATAGATATGGGCACAATGATAGGACACAACAGTCAGCTCTCCTTTAGGGCTGTCACAATTACTTAATTAAAAACATTAAAAATTGATTATTGATTAAATATTATTTTCTCAGTGAGTCGACAGTGATTAGCTGGCAATTTGCATGTTAAATTATTCTTCTTTCTCCTACAGCAGCAGATTATACAAACATATGCATTTTTGCCACATACTGTATCTATTTGTTTATTTCTTCATTTTCTTTTGAAAGACCTCTTAAAGAGAATCGAGTATTTTTGATTCTATGAAAACTTTTACATGGTCACTATTGTTCATTTAAGTCTATTTTCATTGTTCAGTCTATTTCTTAAAGCTTCGATTACTCGACTGATGAACAGTCAACAGGATCATAGATTACTAATTCTCGATTACTAATATAATCGATAGTGACAGCCCCACTGTCATTTACTAAACGCACTGCAGCGCCATGATAAGAATCTCTCATGTGTCACTGCTTGATCGTGCAAGCCTGGCTTTGCTTTCCATTGGCTTGAATATGTAGAAAAAGGCCAGATGGTTTTGTTGCGGTGACTAGACTGCTCATTTGAATGGAAAACGAAATGAATATGTTGTCCTCGTCTGCCTTTGATCAGCGAAACTGAATGACTTTTCTTAGCCGAGATTAAACCAATGGCGCTGTTATGAATCATACTCCCTCGGAGACCTTCAAGTGGCATTTGGATGCACAGTCATCTGAGGTTTTACACCACAGTGACTGACTGAGAGGCTCCAGTAGTGTGCAGCAGCAGCAAGCAGTGGACAAGCAGCGCTAATAAACTCACACTCACCCACACGCCGCTTCTTTGTTTGCTCTCACTGGGAGGAAGCAGTTGTCAGTGCACGCGTTGTGAATGCTAGATGAAAGGAGAAAACGGAAGACCTGGGGGGGTGCATAAAGGAAGAGAGAGGATCACAGCGGGGAGGCCGAGGTGGTCAGATGGAATGATTGAGGTGATACGGTCATCAGCTGGACCCTGACACTTTAACCAGCGGCCAGCGGTCTGGTCAGATCTGGGTCCCCCAGGAGAGAGCTCACAAAGCATTCTGGGTAGAGGCTGAGAACAGCAACAAGGCCCTGATGGCTTAATTGTGGGAGAGAAGCATGATGTGTGAGTGTGTGTGTTGGCGAGAAAGAGAGAGAGACGAGAGAAAGAGAGAGAGAGATGAGGTGGGAAAGGTATAGCACAGACAGACCCTCGTTCTGATGATCATTATACACCAGGCAGTAAAGTGTCAAGCAGGAGAAGTAAAAGTGAAATCTTATTTCTCTTACTCCTACTACTGCAGAGAATACTGGGCTGAAAACAAAATTGCACTGGCTCAATGATGTATCAGTGAACCTGCTATTATACTATTATACAATTACAGTATGTTTATATTTTGTTGAAACGTAAGGATGATTTATACTTCTGCAAATATGCAAGTAACGTATCTGGGTCACGACACAGACTCAAAAATACCACACCAGAGCTAGCACAAAATAAAAATGGAGCAATTTGACAACTGGCTGACAGAAGAGTAGTCTCACAAGGCCAGAGGTGATCTTCTGATCTAATGAGAATACATGTCTGGTTGCAGCTTGTTTGGTGCTGGATTGTGGCAAAATTCTGCTAACAAGGGTAAACCATATCTAAAATACACCTTAAATTCCTTTAGTCCATGCTACAGTTGATAACACAAGCATCATTATCATTAGCTAACGGAACAGTTTTTCCCTTGCAAAAGATGCTGCATGTAATGTGTTCTCCACACATGCATCACACATTTATATGCTTAATTGGAGTGTTCTGGGGAACGTTTTCAGCTATGCTAACTAATATGACATTCATGGGCTAAAGACAGGCTTTCTGACCATCAGACAATGTTGAGGAGTGTACCATCAGCACATTGATTGACCTCTGCATTCACAAGGCATTGGATTGGTTTAGAAATGTCATGCTCAGCTTGTTCCAATCCTAATAAGTCTATATTTGCACCCGCCTGTAGCCCTGTATTTCTTATGGTTGACATAAAACATTCTCCAGATCACATGTGGCCCCCACAAGAAATACAATTGAATCCATCTTCAAAATACTACATAAATAGTTCCGTGAATGTTCATTCTTGGATAGAGATAAGAAAAATGTGAGATTTTCCTGTTCATTCTGGTTCAATATATGGCCCACTTTTGCACATGCTTATGTTACGTGCAGGTGTGTTGGCAAACACCTATGATAGCTGCATATATTCGTAGGTATGCAGGTGCAGAAGTATAATTAAGCCTTTAGTCTTAGGCCACAGTCACAACAACATTTTAGTATGTGTTAAAAATGCATCTCTTGCCATTGATTTCAATGAAAACAATGAGCACTGACCACAGACACCATCGCATTTTAATGAGTGAAAATTACACCCAATTGTCCATTAAAAAAGTTCACCAGAAGTGGAACTTTTGATGAAACATACTTTGATATAACCATGTGTCAATATAAAGTCATGTCAATACTGGCCAAGATGGAGGAGAAACTGATTGCTGTTGTGAAGCCAACCAGCAGTTTTTGCCTGCAAGTATATTCATTGGAAAGAGTTTTCTCCCATGCTGGCCAATCTTGTACATAAAACATCATTCTCAACCTTCAAACATACTTACAAACATTTTTTTTAATGACTGATACCAAAATGTCATTGCATACATGGTGCTTACCCGGTAATTGTCCTTGTGAACATGTTAATTACCTGGTAATTACCTGGTCAGTTGAATCCAGTGTGTATGAGCAGCAAAGTCACAAACAATGGAAGACTCAGACCCTTCAAGACCATGTATGAGTGCCCTTGCTGTACGGGTTAGAGTTGCAGTCAGTCCAAGCCTGTGCATACTCATTAGTGTGATTAGAACTGTTGAGGTAGCGTAGCATGACTGAGCACGCATCAGAGCGTGACTGAGCTTAGCGATCATACAGCCACACCTCTCCCCTAAGCTACCATCCAGACTCGCTTTTCTTAATGTGAACCCAGCATGAACACTACTGTCTCTAGCCTTTACTGACCCACAGTGGAGCTAGACTTTATGGCAGCTAAAGCTAACCCTAACTCAACTCAGCCCATCACAAATCACAGGCTAATGGGATCTCACATGGGAGCATGTTAGCAACAAACTAGCAACAACCACTGAGGGCTTTAGAGGGGCCTGATGCTTTGCCAGGTAGGCCCTGAGGTCAGATGAACATGTTGTGGGGTACTGGAGGTTAATGTAAGGGGGGATCTGGACTGGGATCTGTAAGAGATAGAGGGGGAAAGTGGAGAAGGTGCTAAAGGGTTCATCTCTTAGGAGCTAACTAGCTCTGCTGTTGTTCTGGATAATGCGCTAAATGTTAAGAATTTGCGCCCATACGCAATACAAAGGCACATTTCATTTATTTTACTGAATAGAGGCCTTGCTACATGTGATACTTGCTTTGTGATAGCAGTTAGCAAACAGATTTGACTGGATAAATTCTAGGTAGAAGCTTATTTTAGTGGCTTATTTTCCTTCTTTTGCCTTTTTGTCTGTGCTTTTCTTCCTTTTTTTTCAAAATACATCTTTTTGATGCACACGACATGTAGCACATGTTTCAGCACTTGTCAGAAATTAGCTTTGCTAAACATATTTGCCAGTTCTGCTTTTCTGTAAAGATACAAAACACTGTGCAGAAACCAAACAGTGATTCTATCTTATTCTTTCTTCACAGGAGAAAAAGAACAATAAAAGTAAGCCATGGTTAAAACTAATTTTCCTCTTCAGCTAAAGGCAGCATGCTTTTTTTTAGATTTGCACTCACCCTCTCTTGCTTGTGTCATACCCCACATTTGGTCATTAACCGACCATCTCTAACATTAAAGCTTTGGCACTTTGGCACTAAAGATTACTAGGACAATGAGAGACAGTGAGAGAAAGCTTTTGTGTGCGCTTCCATTCAGTTTCCTGTCCAAATCAGACTGTAGCTTGGTCCATCCTTTCGTTCTCATCACTTTGTTCGGTTAAGGAGAAGTCACTTCTATTCAACATTTTCTATCTGTTTTTGCAAGATTTCTGAGAGTAAGACAAAAAAGATGATTCTCCACATCTTTTGGGAGTGTTCAGCTGAACAACATTTGGAGTAAAATAAAAGCTTTTATCCTGGATGTAATTTTCTGTATTTTGGAATATATTTCTGAAAAATATCAGAATTATACCCCGATTTTAGGAGACGCTCCGTTGCTAGGTAAAGATGGCTCTCTTCTGTTGTGTAATGATAATAGAGCTTCTTCAGAATGTACTGAGTACAGGGAGGTGATTAAATAAGGCTATTTTTACATTTATATCTACTCTCTGGGACTTAAATGGTGCAAGTTATTGCTTTTGTAGAGTCAGCTCATTAATCCAAAAAACACACACACATACGTACACATGCATTCATTTGATCACTCAATAAAGCATAGCAGCTAAACACACACCCCTTAGTGGAAGCTTTACACCATTAGTTTTGGAGGGAGAAATCACAGAATAGATGATTTGCCCCCACGTGTTTTGAAGCATGGTGTTTCTTTTTAAGAGAGCTCACATCACTTTTTTTATTTTCTGGTTCTTTCAACTTTGAGTGTTGATGTTTGTGTGTCATTCTATGTTATGTGGTATGTGTTAACCATGAAGCTCAAAACATCTCAAAAAGTGATTGATAAGGTGATTGGAGATGCTAAAGTATGCCAGTCAGATTTCATTTTCAACCAAATGATCAAAAGTGTAGCATGGTAAACCCAAATTTTTGTAAGCTTCATGAGGTGCATACCACACATTGTTAGTCTCTATAAGAATGTCTTGAATTCTTCAGCTGCTGAAGTTGAAATAGCTCAGCTAACAGTTACCCTCTCTTGCTTTCTCTCTCTCTCTGTATGATTGGTATAGACTCTCGGCCCCTGCCTGACGTAGCTATGACGGGTAAGTGCACGCGGGAGTGTGATGAGTACGGCCACTCCGACGCCTGCTGGATGCCGGTCCGCACCTCGCCCGAACGCAGGCCCAAGGCCACCCCTCCCAAACTCTCCACCTTCATGACCTCGCCTGGGGGCAGCGTCGCCGAGCAGCCCGGCAGCCAGGAGACGCTGGCCGTCGCCAACGGAGACCCCTCACACCTGCTAGGCGACCGCAACCGCAACCTCCTCAACAAGAAGATGGCCTCCTCCTCCTCGTCCTACGACGCCTTCAGCTCGGCCGGCTTCTCCTCCGTGGAAGAAACGTCCCGCCCCACTGAAGAAATCCCTCTAGCGCCAACGGGCGAATACAAGCCCACGCAGTGTGGGACGCTCACCAGGCGGGAAGTTTACCTGTAAAAAATACAAAAAAGCGTCCCACATCAGAGTACAGATTCAATCCGACATCTCCAGAGACACTGTTGGCAAACCAAACCCTGGTGTGAAAGCGACGTAAACGTCTCTCTCACTGCTAGCTTGCGTTTTAAAAATAAGCAGGACTCTTAATCTGTAAGTAATAAAAAGACTTTAAAAAGCATGGTAAAAGGTCTTGCAGATGCGAGAGGACGAGATTGAGGAGGAGGAGGTAGAGAGAATGAGAGAGATAGAGAGACGGAGGTGGAGAGAGGGGGATGCTGGTGGATGAGTGCTGTGTTACTTTGCTGCTAGCGTTTCGGGCCCTCTGACTTTTTTCCAAAGTGCTGCCTGGTTCTGTAGACTTCATCATAAACAACGTGCATGCATAATCTAGCCACTTAAAGGACTCAGACTATTCTCTTTTTCTCATTTTTTTTTTTTTTTGGTTCCTACTTTTTCTAACTGATACTAAGTGGATGGAAGCAGGCAAGACTGGTGCTGTTATACATATATCTATTTTTTGTTGTTCTTTTTTCAGTAGGGGATCAGGATCGTAGAAAGTTTTATGCTTCATATCCGTATGCAATCTGTCCAAGGACTGGACTACTTACATTGAACAAACTCATCGCATTCACCAAGAGACCAAAAAAAACAAAACCCCTACAAAAAAAAAACTAAAGGAAAAAAAAGAGAAAAAGGCCAATCATGGACAACAATCAACGCATGAGATTAGCAGTGATGGCATGGACAGTTAAAGCAGGACCAGATACCTGGATCAGTTTGTTATGTGCTAGAACATTTCCAGTGACTGTAAGGGGGTCTGTAGATATGTCTTTTTATGTCCAAATGGCGCAATTGGCAGCATACGAGCTGTAAATGGCGAACTTACACTGACAGAAGTGAGTTGCGTGTCTAGCCTGTTTTTCACGCAAACAGAGTCATGCACACTTTCTCTTGTGGGTGATGAACTGTACATAAATATTTCAAAGCATATTCCGGACACATGCTTTATACCTATGCTGTCCATCACCACATATGCCCCTCCCCCTTCTCACTTTGTATATCCCAGACATGTCCGAGGTTGCCCACTATTGCTGGAATATGTGAATATGGGTAACGCTTGTCGTTTCATTCAGTGACATGGAGGACATGCAAACTATGCTGAAGTTGTTTTCTTTTGTCATCTCGGATGTAAACTGAAGCCCTTAGTGACCTATGGCACACAACAAGTTACACATGCACACACAGTCATAGCACCTTACACAAGCATATTGGAACTACCATTGGAGCTAACTGGCTATTAGGTTCGCCCTTTAGACAAACAGATTGCTACCAGGGAAACCATTGCGATGACTTGGTCCCACCTGCTTGGGCTGGTCCAGCATAACATTCTCTTAGTACGAGTGTTAAATTGAGCAATAAGCAACAAATAAGTATTCATTTACAATCACACAGAGCTAAATACCGAATACACACAAAAGCTAACTCGTCAAATCAACAAAACTATAGGAATGAGAATCTACCAGCTAAATGGATTTGTACAATCACTTAAAGGTATCTTTAAGATGTCAGTAGGCTGCAGGCTAGTCAGAAGCACTTGTTACAGTTAGCAACAACATTGCTAGGCAAAAACCAAAGTTCTGGTAACAACATGGCATGGCATTTCATAAGATTAGACAAGAGACAGTGCTCTGAATTAGTTTTTACCTGGTTGTGTGTTGCTTTAAATACCTGCACACATAGAACTGTACAGATGGAGGGAATACATGCAGATGATGTCCTTACTGAAACGTATACTGGCATACATGCACACGCACACACACACACACACACACGTTAAGGTCCAGTGCCCACAATCCATCAAATGAACCTAGTTCGAGGTAGAGCGTACACTTACGAGGCACAAAATCTAGCCTTTAAAACTGGGTGACAATAACCAGATGCAATGGAACTATTCTTTTGTATGTTAGAAAACCCTTCAGTTTGAATGGACTGCCCTTTTTTTTCTTCGCAGCCTCCTGAATCTGTAGTCTGTGTGTACTACTCGTCGTTAAAAGAAGTGCTCTGATGCTTATCAACTGTATACAGAAATATGTACTTTTTATTGCACGTTTAAAGGGATTCTACTTCACTTACTATGAAGGAAAAAAAGAAAAAAATGTACAAAAAAAGACAAAAAAATCAGACAAAAAAAAAAAACTCTTACCCTGTGAACTTGGAGGTCCATTGCTTGCTTTTGTTATAAACGAACATTAGACATGTAGTATGGCTTAGTATATCAGTTTGACGAGGATGAAAAACGAAACATGTATACTTCAACCACTCATCGCTTTATTGCTTTTAAAAACGTTACGTTTGGTAAATGTTTTTTTTCTTTTTCTTTCTTATGACCAAATGTCCTTTTATTCATCCTTGTGATTGTATTTTTTCCTTTTTTATTTTTTTGTTTCCTCTCTCTCCACCTCAGACTCACAGTGAGATCACTGGAAGAATACTTGTCAACATCGCACATTTATAACGTAATCCGAGATGGTTCTAAGTTGGCATGATTTCTGTCTGTCTGTTGGTTTTTTTATGAAATGTAAACTCCGTTGGAGCATTATTCACATTTTTTCCTTATCCTTTCCAGTGCCACTTTGTATATTTAGAGTGCTTCTGTAAAAAAAAAAAGAAAAAAAGAATCAAAACAAATCTATAGAGTGAATGCAAAATATGCAACTGTGCCTTTTTATACCGTTATTGGTATGACTCGTTGTCGGTTTTGACTAGTATAAAAAACCAAGATGCTTTCTAAAGTGGAAGAGGAGTACTTTCTGCTCAAACCCTGGTGAAGTTTATATGATAGACTTTAAACAAAAAAAAGAGAAAAAAAGCTTTTATCTTGTGGCTTCTTCACGTACGATCGATCAGATGTTGTCAAGTCTATCAAGAAGTAACAACTGTACACATTTTAGGTGATATCCTAGCATACGAATCCATCCGGTTTCAAATTTTAGCATGGTTACTTGACCAAACGGCTATTTATATGCAGACTAATGTTGATAATGAGGATCATCATAGTCACGACAGTAAGGCTGAAGTTATCAGTAAGGTCAGTGCTGCAGTAGTTAAGCTCAGTGCAGAATGAAGAGCTAAACCAAGTTTGTTGACACAGAAACCTGGCGTTTACCACTAACGGAGAAGCTGGAGAACAGACAGAAGGAAAGAACAGCTCGAAAAGAAAGTTTGCTGGCAAAACATACACCTCTGTAAGAGGGATACTCGCATACATATCCAGAGAACATCAGTTGTATAGATTTTGATAAATGCCAATTTGCACGTCTGAGCAAGTGACAGAGAGATAGAAGTGGTGAAGAAGGTAATGATGAGGTGAGAACAAAGAAAGAAAGCCTGAGGGTAGAGATACTCAGAAATAGAGTAGAAATAGAAGTGCTTTTGTTACTATTAGCAGACAAGGCTTAGCGGCAAAACAAGAAAAGTTCAGTTGCAGAGTTAAAAACCAGTCTGAGGTGTGTGTTCTGTCTGACTTAAGATTCTTTCTTAAGTTGCCAGACATTTCACAGTTAGTGGAGAGATTTGTACTATTAACCATACTCTATTTGTCCTGCGACTTGGATATTGATGTAGAATCGACGAATCAGTTTTAATCATCGTTTTATTAGGAGTCACTATGCACGCAGCTTAGCTGAACATGGCAAAATGTACTGAAACGCTGAAGTCCACCTCTATTTATGAACTATTTTACATAATTTAATTTTTGCTTTTGTACAGGTATTTCTGTAAATAAATTGCTTGTCATTTTTGTCTTCTGCAGAAATTAAAACATAACGATAAAAAAAGTGGCTGGCTTCATGTTCATTAACTTTCAACAGGCTACAGCAGGACAGATTCATTTCCTTTGATGTCATCATTATAAATAATTCATTATACAAAACCTGCTACTCTCTACATGAATGACACGCCAAATATATTTGATGCCAACACAAAACTCAAAAAACAGCTAATGTGAGCTGTGGCGAAGCAGCTCATCTTTCATATTTTGACCAAAAATCAAACTTTCACCATCCTCCTTTTACCTCAGATTTGCTCTATGTAAATATTCTGTATATCAAATAATATAGAAATATACTTAACCAAGGGCAGCATGGTGGCACAGTGGGTAGCGCTGTCGCCTCACAACAAGAATGGCCTGGGTTCGATTCCCGGCCGAGTGACCAGGGTCATTTCTGTGTGGAGTTTGCATGTTCTCCCTGTGTCTGTGTGGGTTTCCTCCGGGTACTCCGGTTTCCTCTCACAGCCCAAAAACATGCAGTCAGGCCAGTTGGATGTGCTAAATTGCCCCTAGGTGTGAGTGTGCGTGTGAATGTGTATGTCTGTCTGTCTGCCCTGCGATGGACTGGCGACCTGTCCAGGGTGTATCCTGCCTTCCGCCCAATGACAGCTGGGATAGGCTCCAGCACCCCACCGCGACCCAGAAGGATAAGCGGTTTAGATGATGTATGTATGTATACTTAACCAAGACATGTTCAGTGTTGGAGGTTTACTTCTTTACTTTAGCTAACAGGTAAGAGAAGATTTTAGTCAAACCTTAGCATCATAAAACCTGTCTAAATCATCACATTCTTGCCTTAAAGCAGGTAAAATGATCTCAAATGGACGTATGTGTTTCTGAAACTGTCTGGCATGCTGTTATCTATTTAAAAAATGAGGCATTCAGTCAGCTGCTATTACTGTTTTTAGCTATGTAACATTTTTCTCCAACTTTATAGATTACAGTACATCATACAGTGCCAAAAACCTCTTAAGTCTGCTTGAGATTACTTAACAATAGGGTTTGAGGCAAGTGCCTGATGATTTAGACATGCAGATTAGCCTCACAACTCCAGTGCAAAACTAAAGAAGAAAACTTCAGACACTGAACATGTCTTTGCTGATTGACTACATCTGGGTTAAGGGTTTTTTAGTCTCGTTAAGGCCTTTCGGAGGAGCAGAGCTCGAGACCTGAGACACACTGGAGATCTTCTGAAATCAAGCCAGAGGTCTGGGGTGCTTTGATTTGTGCACTTTATGAAAACCAAAGTTTTGAAGTCAATGTCTGTAGGAAACAATATGTTTTATCTTTCTGTACTGTGACATATTTCAGAGTGAAAGACAGTGTCAGGGAGGGTGTCTGAGCTTGTGGGAGGGGGTAGTTAAACATGATATTATTGGTTAATATGATTTGTCCCTGCCCACTGGTGCACTGTGATGTAACCCAAAGCTCATAAGATGTTTTAGAGGTGGGCAAAAGTCACTTCACTTTAATGAAGTACTACAGAAAAACAAGATTTTTGGATGGTACCTAATATGACTACGTACATGAACTAACAGGTTAAAAAGATCAATTCTGATTCCAGGTTGACTTTACCATACTTTGCTTACATAAACACTACTAAAAAAAAAAAATAAAAAAAATAATAATAATAAAAAATACACAATACTCCATGATATTGACTCCTTTAACTACAGAATTATTATAACTGACAATCATAAGCCTTAGTTT